CCTCCTCCTCCTCCTCCTCCTGCCTACCACTGACATAATCTATCTTTCTTTCTTTCTTTCTTTCATTCTTTTTTTTTCTGTATATACATCTTCAGCAGCACCACCCCAATTCTTTCACGCTCTTCGTCCATCCTATTCTCCCAGTCTCTTTAATTCTTCATCTATCTCTCTATTGTTTTCGCTTTTTGTGTTTACCCTCCAGTCATCCATAATCATGCCTTTCTTTCTGTCTCCTTTTAAATCCAAAACCCATGTAACATTCAAACAATAACTGAGAGTACTTGCTCACAAAGAAAATCAAGCAATGTTGGTTTGGCGGGTTTTTAACTGGTGATCAAAAGACCGTACTCCTTTTTGCAAATCGCTGTAACAGGTTACCCCCCACCCTTATTTTCCCTCCAAATCCAGAGGAAAATAAATGACAAAAACATTGCTGCCTAATAGGCGACTAGTCAAAGCAAGATTCTGTCCGATGCCGTTATCATGTAATATATTCATAGCCATTCATGTATTTGCAAAACATGACATATTTCTTCATGGATCAATCTTGCCGCCTTATCTTTCTAATTTTCTTGTCTTCATGCCCATCCCGACGGCAACGGCATTGATGACAGCCATTCTAGATATGGTTGGACTCTTTGTTTGAAGTAATTTCAGTAGAGTATGTGAATTTATATGAGAGCAGGTTCCTGCGATAATTGTTTGCTTGACGTTCACACAGCTGATAAATTTAGCTTACAAAAGTATCAGGAATAAACCACGAACACAAGCAAATATGTGCTAATGTTTTCGTAGTCTTATGGAGTTTATTTGGATTCAACAAACCAGTTTCTTTAGACTGTCCACATAGCACCAGGACAAAGTGGTCGCAAATTGAAGTTACGATGTGCATACAAGTACAAATTTGCCTTTCAGAAGTGAGTTATTGTACTGGCACGAGTGCTCTAAGCTAGTAACAGCGTTCATGGTACGTTCTCTCGTTCAATCAATAAATTGTTCGTGAAAACGGTTTCTCGTTTCGTAAATAGATGGGAAAAGCTCGGTTAGACTATTCTTGCAATTCACCCTCAAGGTAACAAGGAGTGTGTGGTTTTCGGGTGAGTTGGGTTTTTTTCTTGGGGGGGGGGGGGGTTGTTACCTATTGTGTGAATTGCTAATATACGAATCCCAAAATTGGGAATGTAGAGGCCATGCTTCTTTATACAATATTGAATTGAATATAAGTTAGCCCTACTATGCTTTAAAGGTCAAACTAACCAGTCTCCCACATACATTCAAGAACTCATTGTACCATACACACCATCATGTGAACTAAGATCCAGTGGCTCTAGACTAATTTCAACACCTCGTGTATCACTGAAGAAATATGGTGAGAGAGCTTTTTCTTTTTCTAGGCCAACAGTTTGGAACACTCTCCCTCATAATTGGAGGAGGGAAATAAAACTTGATACTTTCAAAAGGGGACTCAAAACACATCTATTTAAGAAATATTTTAATTAATGGACAGTGCCT